AATTAAGAGACTTCGTTAATCGGATAATAGACATAAGGTTAAAAGGAAACTTAGGGACATATAAAACAGATGATAAAGACAAGGAGGAGAGATCAACATCACCAACACCACAGATAGGAATGTAGAGTCATTAGCAAGTGTAACTGTTCGAGATGTGGAGGAGCGAGAAAGGGAAGAGAATACATCAAGAGTCCCAGACATATGGTCCGAGGCTCCAGAGTCAATGATCCAGTGTGAGGCTTTGGAAGCTAAGCAAGCCATACCTGAATGGGCAAGTGTAGCGGTGTTCTGCTGAGATGTTTGAAGGAACTGCTCATATACTGCACACGGTACACTCACCATTTCCTTCTCAGAAGCACAAGCAAATGTGGAGGGGATTGGGTCAGTTTGTTGACTTTCAGTAATTGTGCCACTACCCTTAGTCATAGCATGGTTAGCCCAAGTGTTGGGTGGACCACGCAAATCATAGCAGAAATTAACTATGTGCCCCTCTAAACCACAATGTGTACACTTTCTCTGGGCATTACCCCTTCCTTTTCCACGGCCTCCCCCTGAGTCCTGGCCTCCAGTCCGACCACGAGCCCGGTTAAACATGTGACCACGACGGTTGCTTGGGAGTCCACTACTGCCACCACCACTTCTATTTCCACGACCACCCCCTTTAATCACTATAAAACCAGATCTGTCAGAGAGAGAAGAATGTTCTACCGACTCAATGGATGTCCTCTTAAGACGGGCAAAAACTTCTTCAAAAGAGGGGAGAGCAGACCCCCCCAATATTTGTGCTCTGACAGGCTCATACTCAGCCTTCAAACCCACAAGAAACCTTGTCACATCAAGTTGCTCACGTAGTTGTTGTTGGATCTGAACATCTAATGTTAGAGGGTGATACACATTGAGCTCATTACAGATGTTCCTCAAACTTGCATAGTACTCTTTTAAGCTTTGACTCCCTTGCTTCAAATTGAAGCACTCTTGGTACAACTGATACACCCTAGTTGTATTGTCTTGTCCAGATTACAGCTTCTTAACATGACCTTACAGCTCTGATACCATGTTAGTAAACCCTAGCAGATTCTAGGTTGAAGTAGAGAAGAAGAAAGAAAAGAGAAAGAAGAAGAAGAAGAGAAAGAGAGTTCGGCCAGACTAGAAGAGAGTCTCAACATCACCTCTACCCTAGCCGACCCACTTGTATTTATTCAAAATCATAGAGTTACAAGAAAAGACCATTTTGTCCCTCATAAGAGATGGGACGCATAACTTAAACTTAGATACAATAGACCTTTCACTCTTAAACAAATAAACCAGAATGACCAAAATACCCCTAACTCGAGCATTCTAACATTGACTAAAGGGGCCTCGTCAGTCCAATATTTTAACAGATCCACCAAAAAATCCAAAAACTGGGCTTACTTGAGATCTTCGATCAGCCTCTTAAGTCACCATGCAGTCGGCCGATCTAGGGCTGCATGAGAAAACAACTCAAGGAACCTTCGACCTGCTCAGATACCAAGTAGAAATCACTGATTGCAGATTTCATTTAACTCCTTGTGAAGGGAAAGAAGAGGAAGACGAAAATTTCAGCAGTAGAGAAGAAAAGAGGAGGAGAAAAGAGTAGGAAGTCAACCAGGATTCTTAGNAGAGGAGGAGAAAAGAGTAGGAAGTCAACCAGGATTCTTAGATTAACCCTAGCCGCCAACCCCTCATTATAATTTATACTTAACTTAAAGGATGAGATATTACAAGGATGCCCTTAGTAGGGCGGCTACTAATGTAGCTGAACAGTCACAACTTAAAAACATAAACAAATGGGCCTAAAGCCCAACCACGGAACCACCAAGGCCAGAACCGATCTTGGAACCGACCCTTACAGGGTAGGCACCAGGTTCTGCCATGAAACCGAACAGAACTGACCCATGCTCACCCCTAACAGCTAGGACTAATCCCTGCTGCCACCGCATTAAAACTGGAAGTGTGCCTCTGAAATGGAACAAATAAGCCCAAGATCTTGCCAAAAAAAGAGTCTGAAGCACTTGTTTCTACCAAACATGTCATGAACAACCAAAGGTTCCTCACAAGGTTATACTATATGAACCACCTCCAGGAGATGAGACACACCAACATCGGTGCTTTCTAACTGACTGGGTACCAACATCTCCAAGAGATGCCCACACAAAAAAGAACTTCCACCACAACCAAAAGTAAATGAATCTCATCTCTGGGCAATCATACCCATGTATAAATATTCTGAGAAAATAGTAAAGGTTGCACATTGGGTTAAGGCCACAGAACTGTTTAATTCTATTTCCATGGACAGCATTATAAAGGGATGGAATTGACTGGCAAATCCATCCAAAAATAAAAATGAGCATTTAATTGAAACCACCAACAACAAATCAATTGAAAATGAATTTTGATGGTTGTAGCTTGTGGAAGCCCAGAGTATTTAGGTGTTGGATGAGCCTTTGCACTAGTGGAAACCCCGTTGCTTTATTCTCTGGACTCTAGATGGAGTCTGGACCAACAGCAACTTTCTGAAGGAAAAATTATTATCTATCTTGAAACAACTAAGATTGGAGATAATCTATGTTTCAAAAAGATATAGTGGAAGGGGACTCTAAGGTGGTGATAGGCTGGATGAGGAGCAGCAATCAAGGGTTGTGGCAGCAGAGACATATAATGAGAGAAATCAGATTCTTGATGCAGGAACTAGTGTATATGAAAACCCATAAAAGGGGTGCTACACACAATGAACATATTTTTCTGATACATTATAAAAAGTTTTAACTGATACCTATCAAAAAATACCAGTAAAACTTCTCCAAACAAATTGGGTGATACAAGGAGTAATGGAACGGGTTAGTTTCTCCACCTTATGACCACTGACCCAGGTCATAAGGTTCTACCACAAGTATTGATGGGGTCACAAGTACAAAATCTTGGCCAAACAGTCCAACAACACTGACACCAACTTGAAATTATGCACCTTAGATGCCCGAGTTCCACTTTGTTATTATGCACCAAGTGCGTTCTGCATAAGTCTAATATTTCTCACAATCCATAATGCCCTAATGCAACAATCCACCTCAACCAATTTTGATTCCAGAAACAGAAACAAGCCAGGACTAGCCTTGATGAGTGACTCTCTTATTATCATGACCCCCACAAAGGCCAACTATAAGCAGCCACATGTCTGGTATTTTTGCACATCATCATTTTCAAACTTCACCAGAGATGAGTGCAACAAAGCTTTGGTATACAACAATAACCAGAGTTTTCTCTTTTGCCATTTGCAGATCAATTAGATTATCTGGGAAATGTTCCATTTTTATCCCTCATCACATTAATCTTAACTGTGCCACTGTTACAAAAATCCCAGAGTATCGTAATATGCTTCTACAAAACCTCCACCAAAGTCCCCTATATACATCGCAATATGTATTTTTCCATACATAGAAAAGAATACCCAAGTCTTCACATCCACATGTTTGAATGCTATACATTATTTCGACTACATGATCTCATGATCATAAAGGAAATTTTTTTCTTCAATATATGTGAGTTCCTCTAGAGCAATCAACAGCACCCTACAGTCCCCAAAAGGTCTGAGTATCAAGTCTGACTTCAGGTTTAGCTTCTACTTATTTTCTTTTCATTACATATGTATTCTTTTTAATAACCCTTCCAGTCTTAACTTGTCACTAAATCTTTTCCCAAATCTCATGACTCATGATCATTGATCCTGATTTGTCCTTCTAGAATCGAATGGCAAAACACAATTCATGTAGCAGGCCCCATATGGTTGGGACAAGATTTTGATGAGGATGATGATGATGATGATGATGTACCTTATGCATTTTTTATTTTTATTTTTATTTTGTACTTTCATGTATATGTTGTAAATGGGTGTTGCCATCATGTGTCATGCCATGACAGTCATGGGCGAACATGTGAACAGAGTCTAAAATGCCAATGTCAGTGGAAATGTTGGTTGTCCAAATATAAGAAACTTGTCAAATATTTCAGAAAATCATAAAGAAAATTTGTAAAAATTATGGACATTGTGGGAACATTGTAAAATATGCAAAAATGTAGAATGATATTGTATGAAATGATAAAAGAAACATATAAACAGCTTTCTAAAATTATTATCTTGTACAAAATCATTAAACAAAGATAAAATCTAAGGTCATAGAAAAAGAATCTTTTGAAATCGACCTATGATCTATTACACAACATTGCTATTCTGCATGCAATAGTGTCACCAACATATATTATAATACTATAGTACTCTTCATAATGCTGGTAGTGTTCAGTAGGGAATAAATAGATTCCAGTAAAATAATTCTTAATGTTTTAATTATCAAAAAGCCCTGAGGCGTATGCCAGATGCGCTAACACCTTTGAGGAATACGCCTCAAGTGCAAGAGGTGTACGCCTCATGCACACCTCATATAAAAAAATAGAAAAAAGAAAGAAGAAAGAAAAAAAGAAAAAAAGAAAATAAAAGAAAAGGGAAGGAAAAGAACAGGAAGGGAAGGGAAAGAAAAAGAAAGAAAGAGGAAAAAGAGAAAAAGAAGAAAAGAGGGAAGGGAAGAAAAGACATATTTCTCTTCTCTCTGTAGAGTAAATGACACCTCCTGCATGTGTTCATTTTCCCATTATGTTTCTTTTTTAAGTGGCCCCTCCAAAAACCTTCTATCCACACTACATCTATTCCATAAAAAACTTTTCTGCTTCCAGCTCCCAAAGCAATGTTCATTTTGCCACAACCAGAAACTTCATAATTGTTTATCACTATTGCAATCAGAGTGCCTTGTTCAGTATTGGATCAGCTGCTTATACACCTTCAAAACAATGTCCACATCATTCTGAAGGACAGTTTGGCAATTTGCAGTTATAACAAGGTAATGACTGAAAATCTTAGAGGCTTTGAGCAAAAAGTCAAGGAAAGAATTATATGGAAATGAATAAACAGTTCAAATAGGCAAGAAAATTACCCGAACTTCAAGGGAAAATGTTGGAACTTTTCTAAAAACATCCCTCAAACTGCGGCGTACATAGACATGAAAACCTTGGGCTTCTCGTATCACCGCCTTTCCTATAACACCATTAACTCCGACAGCCATGTTGATTCCAAGTAACTGCAGAATATAAATATATCACTTTATACAGAATAATATAATTAAAAAATTAAAAACAAAAAAAAGAATATACAACTAGGTAGGTCCCAGAACACCACACAGAAAAAGACCACTAAGAGTATTGCTCTCATACCAAGATGTTATCCAAGGAAGAAAGAAACAAATAAGAAGATACATTCAGTTAAGAAGAAGAAACAGAGAAGACATGACAAGAAAAAAGGACTAATTGAGCAGAGCTTCAGGGGGCAGTCAAGTAAGAAGACAATTACAATATTAAGCTCATTATTTAAACTCAACTACACTTACATTAGTTGATTTTATTGGCTCTTATATCTTTTTGTGCCTTCTTTTATATGCAGTTTATTATTCTTGAACATCCAGGGCATTTCTGTAATTATTTTTCTTTTATTTTAGGGAAAATTCCTGATAGGTACCCTGTACTTTAGGCCGAGTGCCAATTTAGTACCCAAACTTTAAAATGTGACAATCTAGTACCCGAACTTTCGAAATGCGACAATCTAGTGCCTACCATTAATGGACCGTCAGTTATGTATATCACGTGACCTCATGTGCAAATTAAGTCTTTTGAAAATGCCAAAATTACCCTTGAAAATAAAACACACTGTTCATCATCTTCTTTCTCAAGAAAATGAAACAGAGCCCAAGCCAAGCTCTCAACAGTCCAGACCATCATTTCATGATGAAAACACAAAAGCCAGGGCTCGCCGCTGGCTGCCACCATGGCCAACGGGAGGGGTGGTGTTCTCAGTTCGCCACCGTAACTGCCACCATGGCCACGCTTGACGCTCCTGGTCAAGAGAGAGAAAGAGAACTACAGCGGAGGCGGAACAGGAACTGTGGAAGAGGAGAGAGAAAAAAGGGCACTCGTTTCATCATCGTTTTTCCTGTTTTCCTTCATTCTGATATTAACCCCAAAGCTCAACACCAACAACCGCAGCGAGATCAGAGCTATCTCCTCCATTCAATTCCACAAATTCTCCACTTCTACAGGTTTCAGACTTTTTGATCTCCATGGTGTTTCCTTGAAATTCATGACTTCTTTGATTCGTTGTTCAGCGGTAGCCGATGATTCTGCTTTTGTTTCCGATAACAGTGCGCCCAAGGTTCCCTCCAAATTCTTAGGTGTGGAAATTAGCATATTAAAGAAGGTGATTCCTTTGGGGATTATGTTCTTCTGCATTCTCTTCAGTTACACCATTCTTCGAGACACGAGGGATGTGCTCGTCGTTATAGGGAAGCAGTGCCGAGATTATTCCATTCTTGAAGACTTGGGTAAATTTGCATACGACTTAGTGGGGTTTCATGGATCAGGTTCCATCTCATACCAAACCGCGTTGGCGATAGTGTTAGTGGAGGGCTGTGTTTTTCTTGCAATAGCTGCATTTGGTTTGTGCGCAAGGCTTGTGCGTCTCATCCCTCGGCCAGTCCGGCTTGCCTGTGCGGCGGTCATCAGCCTTTTCATTGCATTTTTCGGCCTGCAGTCTCAACAAGGTGTTGGCCTCGTCAGGCCGAGTTCTTCCACCATAGTGACCCTCATGGCTTGCTCCCGCACGTACCCAATCACAACAAGTGCGAGAATGGAAAGATGCAAAGCCCCACGTTCTAGCTCGGCACTATGGGCTTCCTAGTAACGTGCTACGGGCTGATGAAGGAAATCAGGGGCAGCATGATCTATGGCATCCTATTTGTGACGTTGATTTCACGGATTAGGGGCACCAGTGTAACATATTTTCCTAAGACCACTCTCGGTGACACAAACTACAAATATTTCAAGCAGGTGGTGGAGTTCCATAAAATCACGAGCACTGCTGGGGCTGTAAGTTTCAGAGGGTTCAACAGAAGTGAGGTCTGGGCAGCCTTGATTATGTTGCTCTATGTGGATGTGTTGGCCACGACAAGGACATTGTACTCGGTGGCTGAAATTGGTGAATTTATAGATGAGAATGGGGGTTTTGAAGGAGAGCACATGGTGTACATGGTTGATGCAGGGTCTACGGTTGTGGGTTCGGCACTGGAAGTATCCCCCATTGCGACATACATAGAGCCTCCAGCAGGGATCAGAGAAGGAAAGCAAGAAACAACAATGTTGGAGTACGATGTTTTACAGGAGCTCTCTCTCTCTCCCTGGTCTAGATTTGCTTCCACTATTTTTGTTGCTTCTGTAGCGTGTGAGAATCGTAGAAGAAAGAGAGAGATAGAGGAGAGATTTAATATTTACTACTTCTTCCTTTGCATTTTCTTGAATTTTGTCATTTTTTTCCTATGTTTTGGGGAAAAATGCAGGGTTTACTTAATGGAAGAGACTGGGAGTTGCGGTAGAAGAACAGAGAGAGCAATTAGAACTCTGAGATTTTCTATTAGGGCTCAGAAGCCTGGCCACAATGCACGGGTTCAGTAGACTTGATAACGGAAGGGCCAATGGAGTAAGCCCTCCGTTGTCGACGACGCCTTCGCCTCCTTCGTCACCAAGATTCCACCACAGCCGGAGCAAGAATGTGAACTTTTGCAACCGCAGCCCGAAGCTGCACACTTTTGTGGTGTTCTGCTATTTGCTCTGTTGGTTTACATCTCTGGTATGTTGCTGCATATGGGTTCTTTAAGTCTTGAGGTTGTTGCACCGGATGTCGTTGTCAAACCGGCTCCGCCAGGTTCTACCTACCGTAGTCCTCAAGTTTTTGAGAATCTTCGGCCTTTTATGTGTGTCTTTTCAGAAGAGACCCTGAGGAGCTCGTTGTCAAATCTTCCACTGTTGTTGCTTTATTAACAGAAGGTCGATAAAGAAAATTAGATGACACATGAAGGGCATTTGTGTCTTTTCCCATGACACTTAACGGCTGGTTAACAGAAGATACTAGATTGTGGCACTTCGAAAGTTCGGGAACTAGATTGTCGCATTTTAAAGTTCGGGTACTAAATTGGCACTCAGCCTAAAGTACAGGGTACCTATCGGGAATTTTCCCTTTATTTTATAAGATATACATACGAATTGAAAGGGAAGCAAGCCCATGGTCTCAAACCTTACATTCTCTTATCTTCTTTATACTCTTGTTCATTTTTCATCCCCTATTGTGCTCATTTTGCAATCTGAATTCTAGGAAGAAAAAAGGATCTTAAATTATAATAGCATAATGGGTTATCCATTGAAAAAGAAGCTAAAGAAAAGCTTACCTCAGCATGAAGTACATCAAGATGGACAGCTGAAGGATCTTTGTCAGGGCATCCGTGCCACAACAATTCATTTTTCACTTGTAGCTGTCCCAAATCAAGTTGAATATAACTGCAACATCAGTCACATGTTAGAATAAAATATAATAATAGAACAAATTAAGAGAATAAGGAGCCATTTGTTAACAGATGAAGTAGCTGAACTGAAAACATTATTAGCTTTTCTTCTATCAAATAAGTTTTTTTACGAGGTTGAGGGCTCCTTAATGGATAAAGCTACAATTGAGTAGATTACTATACCCTTGAATATCTTAGTATTTAAGCATTTTATCCACTAAGATAACCATAAAATTTGTTTCAGTGTAATGAGTACAGAGATTGAGAATCCAGATTCCTTCTGTGGATTAGTAGAAATTTGACATGCAAAAGAGAGGTAACCATATTATCATCTACATAGTCGTTGTTGTCCAAGGATGCTATGGTCATTTTGTTTCACTCTAACAACTGTTATTGCAAGTAATTGTCAGGGCCATGATTCTACTTGAAATACACGAGTATATGAGTTAATTAAGTAATTAGTGTGTGATTAAGATTGAAAACACACCCATTTTACCCAGGTTTCTCTATTGTTCTTCCACTCATTAACTTAACTTTTCACTCTTCCAAACATTATTTCAATGATTAAAACTTTTATCAGAGGAGATACAAGAATAATGAGAAAAGAGAGCATGAGTTCAGTGCCAAAAGAGTGAGCTAGCAGCACCAGCAGCACTATTTATAATGGAGTGAAACGGGTAAAATGACAACAGTGTCCTTGTAGCACATAAAGTAATCGAAAACACAAAATTATAAAATTCCCCCTCAAGTTGGGGCATAAATGTCTATCATGCCCAACTTGTCACAAAGATATTTGCAAGTTTGGAAAACAGGACTGCAAATTGATGGAAAGAATAGGCTAGAGAAATTTGTGAACCACACTAGAGGCAGTAGAATGAATGTTTTGTAAGTTCTTAATTTAGGTAGTGAAGTTCGAGAATCAAAACAGTCTGCTGATACAAGTATTTTGTTTGAGAACTGCAGCAGACAACCAAACTATTCAGTGCCATTCGACTACCATGGTATAGAAAGTTTAAAACTCATAGTATATACAATTGGCAATTTAGTAGTAGTATAAACAGAAGTTACAGAACAAAAAATCAAGCCATTCATTTTTTAAGCATGTGGACATCCACCAAGATTCTATTATAAAGTGCTTATCCAAAAACACTTTTCATTACTTCAGTCCCAAATTATCTTCTAAATATGTACAGAACCTATCATAGTTTTACTCTATAAAAAAAGTGTACGAAAAAACCAAGGGCTAATAATACAAACTCTTTGCTCATTGAATTTCGTGGAAGAACAATTATTGGAGTGTCCAGTGAAAGGTCCAGCTTTAATGCAGCTGCTCCATCCATCTCATATTTCTGAATCAACCACTCAAAGCCCCCAACTTTATCAACAAGCTTAATTACTTCTTCAGTGCGGGGACTGGCAAGTTCCATAAAGTATGCAGTTATCTGCAGAGGCATATAAAGCATGAAGAAATACATAATAAAGTCAAAAGAAAAGAAAACACATCAGATAATGATCATGAATCTCTTAAAAAAAGAGAAGGCATTTCTGAACAAAGATAGCATGATTATCAGATTGAGGATTTCAATCAATGATAAGGATAACAACAATAGTCCCAAAATGTTACAATCTTTCAGCTGGCCTTACCTCTTCAACAAATCGATAAAGGATGACAATGCGTACTGCAGAAAGACGACCGCATAAGCTATAATCATACCCTTCATAATCATCATCTTCAGCACTGTATGATTTAAATATATACTAAAAAACAAGGAAAAAAGAAAGAGAAAAAAAAAATGTCATCCAAGCATGACTTGAAATAAGAAGAGCAGTAAAGGTTATTCAAGTCATTAGTTTGATCTAAGAGACATATCATTAGTGATTCAAGAAAAAGAAACAGCAGTACCTTAATAAGGGATTCTGTACCCTGATTCCGTATATCACAAAGCCAACCCCAACAGTGGTCTGGCCCAAGAGACATATCACACAGCCTGAAATTTCCCAGTGTGCCCTCTATAGAAAGAGAGCCTGGGTGAACCTTGGAGAAGCAATTGGGTCAAATAATACAATTAGAACAAGACAAAGATCAAAAAATCAATGGTTTTCTAATCACAAATGAAACATACAAGAAAAAAAAATGAATGTACGCCATGTGTATAAAAATAATATGTTTCAAGCTAAATGATAACCAGCGTTTTGAAAGCCCAGAACAGAAGATGGCTGTTACTAGATCTGCAGCCATGGAGGAACAAATGGACAAATTTGAGGTGGAGATGCACAGGTTTACTAAAAATCTCAAAGATAACAAGGAAACTCAATCTGCAGTTATAAATCAATGTGAAAAGATGACTCTTCGGACCCCCCTACAAGCAAGAATTTTACGATTGCTCATAAGGCTTTTCGAAAAGATGTCAAACCAATAATTTTGAGAAACGTTGTGTAGCAGGGGTCAGCATGGAGGACAAAGAGAGAAACTCTAGCTAGGATCTTTGGCTGTGGGATAAATTCATGGCCTATGCAATATTTGGGGCTTCCTTAGGGGGCAATCCTGGGTGTGATCGGTTTTCGAACCCAGTGTTAGAGAAATTAGGAAATTGCAACTTGAAAGAGCAATTACATTTCCCTAGGGGTAACTTTGAAAAATCAACCCTCGCTAGTCTTCCTGAAAGAGCAATTACATTTCGTTGGAAGGCAGAATTACTTTGATAAAGTCCACTCTAGCGAATTTGACAGTCTACTACTTGTCGGTCTTTAGGATGCCTAGAAGGGAAGTGCAAAAATTAGAAAAGCCAAAGAGGGATTTCCTTTGGGAGCCTAGGGAAGGTAGAAAGGATCACTTGGTCAGGTGGGAGGTAGTGTGTCAGAGTAAAGAACACGGAGGTCTAGGATTAGGAAATCCAAGTAAGAAAAATGCATCCCTACTAGGTAAGTGGTTGTGGAGATGGCAATTGGAGAGCGGACAGTTGTGGCAAGAAGTGATAGACAGCATTCATGGTGGTGTAGGCAATGGTTGGAATGCTGGGCTGTCTTCGAGGGCTACTTTGGCTTCTCCATGGAAATCCATTTGTGGAGTGCTCCCTCAGTTCTTTAGCCTTATCAGGTATGATATTTGCTCTGGAGACAAGGTTCTCTTTTGGGAGTAGATTTGGATTGGCGACTCATCCATTAAAGACCTTTATCCTTCTCTTTATTCCCTTATGTTCCTTAAAAAAGAGCATGTACATTGTTTTGTGTCCTATTCTCAGTTGACCTGGGACTATGAAGAAACTTGAGAGAGAATGAGCTTGATTGAACTGGCACTTTTGCTCTAGTAAGTCCTTGATTCTGTTTTTCTGGATCTTTCTAATGCTGATGGTCATATTTGGACTCCACACCCTAGGGGTTTGTTTTCCTGCACGTCATTCTTCTCTTGCTTGTGTTCAGCCCTGATTCACTCTCCTTGTCGGTTTAAAGAATTCTGGCCCAAACCTCTCCATCCCAAGGTTGGGGCTTTCGGTTGGGAAGTCTTTCTTGGAAAAATAAACGCGTTAGACACCTTGCAAAAAAGAGGGCCTACCTTGTGCCTTTCCCCCAACTGGTGTATCCTATGCAAAGCCTGTGGTGAAAGCTGTTACCACCTCCTAATTTCTTGCCCTTTTGTTGTAGGCCTCTGGGAAAAGGTTTTTGATCAAATTGGTCATTGGTAGATTGTGGCTCTGCAGATTGGAAATCTCTTTGACTCCACGACCTTCAGTTGGCCAAACAAGAGAGGTAAAGTCAAGTGGAGATGCCTTAGGGCTGCTGTGATATGGATGGTGTGGGAGGAGAGACATGATAGAGTCTTCAGTGACAGAGAAAGGAGTATGGAGGCAGTTTGGGAGTGTATTCTTATAGAGTTATACATTGGGTCAAAGCCTCAAACTTGTTCTCAGATTTCTCTGTTCATGACTTGTGGAGAAATTGGGGAGCTGTAGCTAGAAGTTTTACCGCAAGGAACAGACCAGTGGTAGCTTGGGAACATCCTGATGAAGGCTTTATTAAGTTGAACTTGATGGCAGCAGCCTAGGGAACCCAGATCCAGCTGGTGTAGGAGGGGTCTTTAGGAAAAATGAAGGACTCATTGTTGATGTATTCTCAAGCCCATTGGAATAGGAGACTCAGTCTTGCAGAGTTCCAGGCAGGCAGTGAGTTGGACATACAACGAATCTATGAAAAAGTTCAAATGGCTAGTTAGAGACATGACGATTCTTGTGAAATGGGAAAGGCAGTCTGCAAATAGAATGGCTGATTATTTTGCGAAGATAAGGGTGTTTAATTCTGAACTGTTTCTGGTTCAGTTGTAATTTGGGTCATTGTGGAATGCGATCACACCTCGTGTCCCAATTGGGATAGTTTTTCTTGTATATCTTGATGTAATCCCTCTTTATTAATAAAATTCTATCATTTACCAAAATTAAAAAAAATATATATATATATCTAGACACAATTGGGTAAAGAAAGGGGATAGAAACACAAACTCTAGAAGAAGAAAATTTTTCATATCAAAGCTAGAGCTGGAGGGAGTAAAAATAACCAAACAAAGTGAAATTCTTGGAGCTTTTGTGGATTACTTCAAATCTATCTTTAAAAGACCATTAATGGGGAGACTGAGAGCAAAAGGGTTAGACTAGCCAAGTTTGGCGGAAGATCACAAGGTTTGGCTGGGAAGGAGTTTTGACTTGGAAGAAATATAGGAGGCAGTTTTCTCGATGGATAGAGCTAAAGCACCAGGGCCAAATGGGTACACAACAGCTTCCTACCAAGACTACTGGGATTTTTTAAAAGAAGATTGATTGAGGGTCTTCAATGAATTTTTTAGAAGAGGGATCACAAATCCTGGACTGAATTCCACTTTTATTGCTTTGATCCCAAAGTAGTTGGAGGCAAACCACCCAAGAGAGTTTAGACTCATCAGCCTGGTTATAAATTGTAAACAAGCCTTCCAATGTAAAACTTTGTTAGCTAGTCTTGGGCCTTGGTCCTGGTTCAGTTTCCCTGAGTTGTTAAATGCTGTATTGCACCCTGAAAGACTTCAAAACCTGAACCAATAAGTAAGGAAGAACTTAAAATGTTGTCTAATCAACACATTTACTTCTTTTTCTATACTAATTTTGTTTATTTATATACCATTTTATTCCACCTTCCACTTTTCTTCTTTTCCTATAACAGAAATTGGGGTTCAGCCCCTATATTTTTTGAAATTTCTTTTCTTTCTTCTTTTTTTTTCTCATGAATATGTTAGAATATGTTGATTTTCTATACTTTAACATTAAGTTTATACTTTTCTTATGAAAACTATGGATAATTATTAGGAAATATGATGGAACTACCCTAGGATACATATTTTCACTTGAAAAAATCCATCGCCTAGGAGATTAGGCGACAAGGCGCCCCCCCGTCGCCTAGCCTCGCCTTGGCACCTTGAAAACAATGCTCCACACCTAGCTAACATTGTAACAACTTAATGAACATCAACATAAATATTAAAAATTGAATTTTCAAAATTCAGGTAGCTTCAATATATGGGCATTAATGTAATAAAAACTTTTACATATTTCATTTTAAACTCCATGTGTAGGTTGACCAATGAATACCTTCTTTTAGTTCTGTTTGTTTCATTTCTCAACTTCTCCCAAAATAACAACCTTGGTAATAAAGAAAACAACACAGAAAAACTAGCAAAAGTGGAAGCAAAAATACTGTTAAGTGTATGATCACCATCTGATGCAACATAATTCACAGAAAAACTAGACAAAAAGCAAAACAATGTCAAGCAAATGAAATATAGAAAACCACCTCACCTTCAAATCAAACAAAAAACTCTCTTGCACAAACATGGCAAGCTGAGAACCATCCTCCTTGTTCAGAAATACGCAGACACTGTCAACATCCATACTCAAATTAAAAACTATACGGCTTTTACCATAGCCCAGCAAACCCTTAACAAAAGAACGTTCATTTTCTTCCGTCTTTTCTCTGATCTGAGAAGATTCAACTACAGGATCACTATTCTCATTTGGGCTGCCTACCCCAGAATTTTCTGAGCTCAGATCCAAACCAAACTCAATTAAAGCAACAAGAGTAGGTCTATTGCAAAAAAATTCCAACTTAGACATGCGAATTTTCATCTGGAAAAACGAACTAACAAAATTAGCAAATAAAGTTAGAAGTAAAAGAAAAAAGACAGGTTAGAATTACTAATAATCAAGGATCCAAATAATATTAAGATCCCCAATGATGTCATGTTCATTACCTGCGAATCAATACCATCATAAAAGGGAGAGCTAGGACTCTTTGATGAAAAGATAAAAGCAACAAAATCAGAAGTATCATTCTCCAGTGCCTCATAGAACATCTCAGCAGCAATACCCTTCCCTTCTGCTGAATCACTATCAGGAATAAAATCTTCAGTAGAATCAAATCCAACACAATGCCCACTGATATCCGAAGATTCATGCTTTAAACCATCAGGGATATCAGTAATTGCTGAGTAAACACTGGTATCAGGATTAGGCATGAAATCAGATAGAGCATCTTTAAAACATTCATCATCCTCCGGAAGCATCATGGATAACTCTTTCACATTAGGATCTAAATCAGCAAGTGAAGAAGTTACATCATCACCACTGAGCACAGAACAGGCTAAATATTGTGTAGACGTCGAAAGACGACCTTGAAGCTCATCCTTAATCTTAAGAGAATGTAGTTTCATCTTGACAGTCAGTTCCTCCTGTGATTGAACAAGATGCACCTGCAATAAAATATTGACACACATATAACCCCATCCAATAGGAAACAACATGTCCGCACATATATTATAATAAAAAATGAACTAACCACTTCAATCTAACCATCATATTAGAAATGAAAAAGAGAAGTTGTGTAATATATACCTATTACAGAGATCAAAATATCTAAATCATAAGAGTGATTAGTACTGTTTTGACTGCTGCTACAGTAACCCGAACCAGCAAGAGGAAGAAGAAGAAGAGGAAGAAGAAGAGAAGAAGAAGAAGGAAAAGAAGGGGACTGTCGAATCTGATCGGTAAACCCAATCAGTCGACCCCTTAATAGTAATTAGTCTCTAATAATTTCTACAAAGACAAAACTGCCCTTACTTAAGTGTGGGGCAGAGTGTCTCTAATAAAGCTGCCACATAAGCATGCAACTTAACAAAGATAAGATGACTAAACTACCCTTATTCGGCACACATTAACACTCCCCCTCAAGCTGGAGAATATATGTCATATAATCCCAACTTGTTACATAGATAGTTCACTTTCCCTGAGCTTAGAGCTTTTGTAAACAAATCTGCCCACTGATCATTCGAGCCCACATGTTCTATGCTTATCTCTCCAGCAAGAACCTTCTCCCTCACAAA